GGTGCTCCAGGGTGCTCAAGGCTCAAGGCTCAAGTCTCGAGTAACACGACGCTTCCATCGTTTTATTCCCTGACCCAAGTTCGTGTAGTACTGTTCAATTTTCAACAGTCTGATTACACTTGATGGACAACGTCTGTCCTGTTGGGCCGTGAATTTCGAGCTCTCGAGGTCTCAAGCCCGTCCACAGCGAAAACACAGAAACATCCGGGCCGCCGGGACAAGCCTGGTCCGTCAATGTCAATTCCAATTCCGAGTCAGGTGAGAAACATGAGACTTGGAACCACCCAGACCCCAGCGCGTCGTGTATGATGGAGTTGGTCTGATGCATCAAGCCCGAGCAGCAACAGCGAGCGAGCTTAGTCATAAAAGCGAGCAAGGCCGAGCCAAAAGCGAAAGGGGTGGCTTGGTCACGACGGGCGCCAGTGACCACCATACTACAACCCTCCGTACCGAGTATGCGCTTGCGAATTATACGTCTGCTGGACCGCCCTGCTTGCTTTTTGACCCGTCTTCGACCAGAGTATCTACTCTGTACTCCGTACCGAGTACTGGGGACCAAGACAGCTTGGCTCGTCTCGTCGTTTGTTGGTTCCAATGTCGCAGCAAGACCAAGAATTGGGCCCCCAAGGCAGACCACACAAGTTGACAAGACAAGGTCTGGCATAACAAAGGGACAGACGTCTGGACTCTGGACGGCTCGAGTGGGGATATTATCAGGTCAAGTGTAGCCACGCAGCCAACCGCAGGGCAAGGTCTCGAGCTTGTCGATCCAACGTGCCAGAGTCCAGATACAACGTTTGCACAACTGCAGTTTGCCTCGACGCCTGGCTGCCTTGCAAATGCATCAAGCCCTGACACGAAATGCGGAATCGGGCCAGCATCTGCCCACTCTGCAACTTTCTGACGTTGGCACGGCCCATTCGCTCTTTGCGCGCCCCCTTCGGGGTACGATGCCCCAAGGTAACCCGCAGACTGGCTGCCTAGGTGCCTAGTACTTAAGGACGGAGCACAGAACGCCTGGCTGCGGGCGACATGTCCAAATCTATCGCGTCGTCTTTTACCAAGAGACATGCCAAACAAGACCAATCCGGCCCCATGCGGTGAGCACAGCGCAAACACAAATCACCAAGATTTCCAACCCTTGATCCACCCGTCCTCGCTCCCTTCCCCGCTCTTTTAGTAGACAGATGCAAAAGTGGGGACTCCATCCACAGACTCGCTTCTTTCGCGTCCACCTTTTTCCGGCTGAGCTACCCGAACGAGTGGCACCACTTGATCGCGCAGGGGTCATGAATCCGTGAATCCATGATCCTTCACATTATCTTCAAAAGTCATCTATAACATTCTTCGTCCGGCTTACCCCAGGCCTAGTCAGCGAGGCCCGTTCTACCATGCATGTATTTTTGAACCTTTTTTTTTTTTCAGCATGCCAGCATGGCATACCTTAACTTATATGGCCTGGCTTTATTCGGCGACATCTCATACCCCATAGTCCGTATTCTGCATCAAAATACAGCCCGATTCCCGTCCGTTCCAATGCATCCATACCTACCTTAGGTACTTAAGTAGGTAGTTACTCTACCCAAGACAGCATCATGCAACGGGACGCCATGACCCCAGCCGGCATGTCGATGATTCCAACACACACCAAGTTCTACCCGTGAAATTTTCCTCGCTAGCAAATAAATCTTGCCCATGACCCAGATCGGCTACGCATCCTACACGCACCAAGGTGTCGCAGAGAGCGCGGCAGCTGGTGGCGGCGGCAGATAGGCTGCAGTTGACGCGAGTCTCCCATGTAGCCTCAAGCGCGAATTTCAAATCTTGCACGTAATGAACTAGCTTAGCTAGTACGGAGTCATACGAGTCCACATTCGAGATCAAAAACCCAGGGGGTTGTGCAAAAGCTGATTTCTGGCGGCGCACAACTCTTGCTCACGGAGGACCAGCAATATCACTACTTCTTCCCCCCCCCCCCCCCCGCTCCCGTCCACGCC